TTTTATGAAGCCATTAAGACTTGCTTGCGTCCTTGTGAACAGCTGTATTTTTTATGTAGCCACTAAGACTTGCTTGTGTCCTTGTGAAGAACTGTATTTTTTATGTAGCCACTAAGACTTGCTTGTGTCCTTGTGAACAGCTGTAATTTTTTATGTACTCACTAAGACCTGTATGTGTCCTTGTGAACAGCTGTATTTTTTATGTACCCACTATGTTTTTCTCTATCACTTTTGGATTTAATAAAGATTGTACTTTTAACTTTATTATGAACTGTTTATCATCATAAACTGTTAATTTTTTTGTTTTTCCTTTTCAGTTTCCTTCCTCCTAGTTTTCCTCATGAACCTCCTGTTGTGAAAGTAACACCTCCTGTAAACCACCCCTGGGTGGATCCTGAGACACAACAAATTGTTGGATCACCTAGGCTTATAGCAGTAAGGCTTTCAGTTAAGCACACTCTTATATTACCTAGTCCTTTAGCAGTAAGGCTTACAGTTAAGCACACTGTCTTATATTACCTAGTCCTATAACAGTAAGGCTTACAGTTAAGCACACTGTCTTATACCACCTAGTCCTATAGCAGTAAGGCTTTCAGTTAAGCACACTGTATTATATTACCTAATCCTATAGCAGTAAGACTTTCAGTTAAGCACACTGTCTTATATTACCTAGTCCTATAGCAGTAAGGCTTTCAGTTAAGCACACTGTATTATATTACCTAATCCTATAGCAGTAAGGCTTTCAGTTAAGCACACTGTCTTATATTACCTAATCCTATTGCAGTAAGGCTTACAGTTAAGCACACTGTCTTATATTACTTAGTCCTATAGCAGTAAGGCTTTCAGTTAAGCACACTGTCTTATATTACTTAGTCCTATAGCAGTAAGGCTTTCAGTTAAGCACACTGTCTTATACTTTTATTTTCTCACAGAATTGCGTTTTATCTAAAGCAGATTATTTATAAAGCTGAAAAAACTGAATTTGATTGACTTGTAAAGTTTCTAGTACTAAAGCTACTTATATATATTTTGTTTTTTAAATGCCAGAAAAACTGCTTGATAACGGATTTGGCCTTTTTTATTCTTGTGAGATCTTGTTTGAAAGTTAACTCATGGATGTGGCATCCAAATTTAACAATATTTCTGTATTCTCGTTTGCCATCTCAAGCACTACAATTGAAAAAAGTGCAGAAAGTAATAATCCACTGGGTTCATTGGCTTTCTCACTCAGAGCTTGTATATTTATCCAAATTTCTGATGTATGTGAATAAAACTGTATTTAAGAAGCTATATAATATCTATATATATAATATTTATTAAAATAAACTATATATAATATTATACTAAAGGTAACTATAATATTTTATTAAAATAAACTATATATAATATTTTACTAAAGGTAACTATAATATTTTATTAAAATAAACTATATAATATTGTTCTAAAGGTAACTATAATATTTTATTAAAATAAACTATATAATATTGTACTAAAGGTAACTATAATACTGTATTAAAAGAAATTACATATAATATTGTACTAAAGGTAACAATAATATTTCATTAAAAGAAACTGTATATAATATTGTACTAAAGGTAACTATAATATTTTATTAAAAGAAACTATATAATATTGTACTAAAGGTAACTATAATATTTTATTAAAAGAAACTATATAATATTGTACTAAAGGTAACTATAATATTGTACTAAAGGTAACTATAATATTGTTCTAAAGGTAACTATAATATTGTATTAAAGGTAACTATAATAATGTACTAAAGGTAACTATAATATTTCATTAAAAGAAATTACATATAATATTCTACTAAAGGTAACTATAATATTTTATTAAATAAACTATATATTATATTGTACTAAAAGTAACTATAATATTTTATTAAAATAAACTATAATATTCTACTAAAGGTAACTATAATATTTTATTAAAATAAACTACATATAATATTGTACTAAAGGTAACTATAATATTTTATTAAATAAACTATATATTATATTGTACTAAAAGTAACTATAATATTTTATTAAAATAAACTAATTACCTTTAGTACAATATTATATGTAGTTTATTTTAATAAAATATTATAGTTACCTTTAGTAGAATATTACTTTTAATAAAATATTATAGAATCTATATATATAATATTGTACTAAAGGTAACTATAATATTTTATTAAAAGAATCTATATATATAATATTGTACTAAAGGTAACTATAATTTTTTATTAAATAAACTACATATAATATTGTACTAAAGGTAACTATAATATTTTATTAAAAGAATCTATATATATAATATTGTACTAAAGGTAACTATAATATTTTATTAAAAGAATCTATATATATAATATTGTACTAAAGGTAACTACAATATTTTATTAAAAGAATCTATATATATAATATTGTACTAAAGGTAACTACAATATTTTATTAAAAGAATCTATATATATAATATTGTACTAAAGGTAACTATAATTTTTTTATTAAATAAACTACATATAATATTATACTAAAGGTAATTATAATATTTTATTAAATAAACTATATATTATATTGTACTAAAGGTAACTATAATATTTTATTAAATAAACTATATATTATATTGTACTAAAGGTAACTATAATATTTTATTAAAAGAAACTACATATAATATTCTACTAAAGGTAACTATAATATTTTATTAAATAAACTATATATTATATTGTACTAAAAGTAATTATAATATTTTATTAAAAGAAACTACATATAATATTGTACTAAAGGTAACTATAATATTTTATTAAAATAAACTACAGAATAAGATGTTGTGGGTTTAATAGCTTTTAACTTCTAATTGACTCCCCCATGGCTACTAACTAATTTGACATCTGTGTTGGAATATCCACAATGTATTTGGGAACTATGACCACAGGTGTTTTCCACTATGAGTTAATAGTAATGACAAGGCTTTGATACATATATATGGACGAGTTAATAGTAATGACAAGGCTTGGATACATATATATATGGACGAGTTAATAGTAATGACAAGGCTTTGATACATATATATGGACGAGTTAATAGTAATGATAAGGCTTTGATACGTATATATGGACGAGTTAATAGTAATGACAAGGCTTTGATACATATATATGGACGAGTTAATAGTAATGACAAGGCTTTGATACATATACATGGACGAGTTAATAGTAATGACAAGGCTTTGATACATATATATGGACGAGTTAATAGTAATGACAAGGCTTTGATACATATATATGGACGAGTTAATAGTAATGACAAGGCTTTGATACATATATATATGGACGAGTTAATAGTAATGATAAGGCTTTGATACATATATATATATGGACGAGTTAATAGTAATGATAAGGCTTTGATACATATATATGGACACATACATTTCCATTTTTTAAAACTTTTTTTAAGAATTCATGTTGGTGTTTCAGTATGTGAATTTGACTTTATTGTGCAATAACTATAGTATTAGAAAAGACATTCTATTTTATACATTAAATATAATTTACAATACTTCTTACAGTTTTCTATGCATTCTGACTTAGGAAGGATAGTACAGAGTGTAATCAATGAGTTCCAAACCCACCCACCAGAAGTTCTTCCACCAAATATGTAAGTCAGTTATTAATCACATACCTTTCAAGATCAGGTTATTTGTCGTTATAGAGTTTTTAGTACAACATGTAATCCTATTACATCAAACACTGTGAGCCAATTCAATCAAGTTTTTGTCTCCAAAGTAACCATTGTAGTTCCATGCTATAAATTTTAACTTGTTTTGTGTATCGTCAAAAACTTTTGCAAGTTTTTAGTAAACATTACACATCTTTTGTACACAAAAAATTTGATTTTTTTAATAAAGTATATTTACTAAAAATTTGTCTGTGAATATGTGGAGTCAGAGTGTTGACTGCTTCAAGTACAAAGAGATTTCTTTGTTAAGATTAAGAATACTTATATTGATCTGAAAATTGTGAAATTTCAATTGTGTAATCACTAAAACCTCCTAAATAAATATTAAGCGTTTTTTTTAAGTTTAAGTTTATACTTTATCTGTTATTTTTACTAACCTAACTCATCTTTTAACCACCATAAAAAATATATATAATAATTGCAAATTGTAACAGGAAACTACAGTTGGTTATCCTAAAAAACCTTAAAGTTTGTAACAGTATACATCTGTTTTTCTTAAGTGTTATTGTTTTATTGCCCTTTGGCCTGTGTCTAACTAATAATCCCACCACACAAGTTGTAAATCACTTGACAGACATGTAACCCACATTACTGTATTTAATAACTTAATGCACAAGCTGCTTGTGACCATACCTCGTGAATAATTTTTATTATTATTTTTGTTGCCTAACCTCATAAGTTTCTAATTATTACATTTTAATTACTTTTATAATAATAAATAAAGAATACACATGAAAAACAAGAAATAGGTCTTGTTTTTTTTGCTATCAACTGTCAATGAAACTTAAGCCTACATGTTTTTATACTAATGGTACTACTATACTAAATGATTATGAAAATAAATAATTCATCTAAAAACACATAATAATAACAAGCACAAAGCAAACAATATCCTATAACTATCATAATTTGTCTGGCTTTCTAACTATGCAATAAGAACCTTTAAAAATACAGCCAATCTTATTGTGGGAATAAGGTTTGAACTGGAAGCGAATTCTCTGTATATAAAACAATATAATGAAATACGTCATTTGATAGATTAAAACCTTGGCTTTCAATTGGTTATAAATAAAACATCAGAGACAAATACTGGCAGTTTGTGAAAAAGACGATATGACAGTTGGGCGTGGCAAGTGGGTCTGATTTTCTAGTTTATGGCTTCATAAACAAATAAGATTGAAGGCTATAACAATTATGCTTTTACAATTTTTACAAATTCATGAACTTTAAAAATATGTCAAATGATATGAAGTTACAGACATTAGCAGGTGTAATAAAGTCTCTTTAAAAAGTTAAATAAAATTTATTTTAAAATCGATTTTGATCTTCTAATC